TGCTCATTCTGTGACCCAAACTGTGGGTCTACATGTACTTGCAGTGGACAAGGTTATGATTCCACAGACGAAGGCAAAAGCACCCTGTTGGTCCAGGGAACATTGCAGAATACATCATCCACTTGAAGAAATTACAGCTGATGCCAACAAAACAAAGAAAATGTCTTAGTTTACTTGACCAAACAGAGGATGTAATATGCTTTTGTTTTGGTATGCTCCAACTTTTTGTGCGAGTGGAAGCTTCCATCTTCTTTTGATTGGTAGAAAAACTGTTTACCATATCTGCCAACTAGGTAATACGTACATTAATCTGCTCCAAAGTGGAATTGGAATACCGAATTTGCTTCACTGATCTGAGAAATGATCACAGGCTGCTTGGGCACTCACCAAAATTTATTTCAGTATGAATCAAACATTCTAAAAACCAAATCTAAGCAAAGAGTAGCCTTACCTGTGCTAGGTATTCGTAGTCAATGTCGGTCTTGATTTCAAGGGCACAGTCGGGGTTAATCACTTCTGGTAAGTGGAACTCGATCATTTTTCTCCGTGCCTCTAAGACGGGTAGATCCACAAGGATTCTCTTCTCCAATCGTCGCAGCATGGCATGGTCCAATTCCCTGTAGTATTCAGCAACCACTTTTTTCTCAAGCAAATTTTTTTTAGATACCTCATAAACAATTTAATCTAATTTTCATACGTTTATGGGGTTATTGACTGTGATGATAAAAATAACCTAATTGATTGGGCCAAAAAAAAATCTTTATTTACACGTAAGCCTGGAAAACCTTTTGCAACACAAGTCATATGTTTTTCTCTTTGGCAAGAAACCATTTGACTGCCAAAAGAAATTTAGTACCATGCTGACACAGTTAAAGAGTGGCACTGTCAGGATTTTATTTTGCTCTGTTTTTGGCAAGCAGTGCTATTCTATATGAAGAACAATATTGGTGTGAAAGAAAAAAAGGATATCTCTGTTTGCATTTATTTTCTGATACACTCTTTTTCTTTATTTCAAACAATGGCCCAGCCTAAATATTAAATACGCAACACCACTTTGGAAGTAACAATCACTTTGCTGGCTTCTATCAAAGAAAATTTACAGTACATAGCAAACTTTAGAAAAAGATAATGCTCGCGTGTTTTGGCATATGTGACAGGACCGTAAGATGTGTGTTATAACCAAGTTACTTTCAATTCAACATCCACAGACATTCAAGATGTTTCACATGTTTGTAGAGGGGTCATTCCATGAGATTGGGGCACAATTTGTGACCGTGTCCTTGTTACATTGGTAACTTTTACCACCTGTTATGACCTGTGGAGTAGGTCATTTACTCTGTAAAAATAACACACACCTCTGGATTCAGCCTTGCAAGATGTATAATTTGGAATCCACATGCAGGGAAATAGCTGTTCATTTTAATGGAACGCACGTAACAATGGACACAACACCTTCACAAATCATGCCCCAACCTCATGGAATGACCCAGAGACAAGTGACTGCCAGCATACCAGGGGAGATTTGAAGCGGCTAGTAGAAAGACTAGATCGTCTGACTTGGACAGGCCGTCCATCTGTACTAAGAGTTCTGTCTTCATGCGTCTGCTGCCCTCGTGCTCTCTGAGGAAAAAGATATTTACAAAACTAAATCTTTCAAAAATACTACAACATGCATTAGCACCTGCATATCAGGTGGGCCCTGTTTCAGTAAAGTGCAAGCGCAAGCACAAAAGAAATGACTGCCCCATCTATTTAAAGTGACCCAAGAAAAAGAGTGCACTTTTAATATGTGCCCAGTGCAACTGGAAAGAAAAAACAAGAGGGCGTTTAAAGAAGGACAAAACATTTACCCTCCCGGCATTGACCCACGCTGGCTCATGACAGATTCCAACTCGTCCAGAAATATCGTTGATGGAGCGTGAAACCGTGCCAATTCAAACAGTACCTAGAAATGTAAGGAGACAATAACATGGTTACTCTTAGTAGGTAGAGGGTTCTATGTGTATTTTGTGTTCATGTTTGAATAGAACCACACTCATTTTTGTGCAACAGAGCAGTGGTTCCTTCTATAAAGCAAGATGAGGATGAAGGAATGACACTTCAACGTACAACTTCCAATTACAGTTTCAACACTGTAACAATTGAGACATTCTGCCTATACATGGGCAGTCCTTTATCTGCCCTGAGCTGAAGTGCACCCTCACCACGTAAGAAAAACAGACTGGTGCAAAGTTTTCCAACCGGATTCTTGCATGCGTTTGGCATGCAAGCAAAATCGATACATTTTAGAATTATTCGTTGCACACACTCGGCATGCTCCATATCAAGCACGCATAAAATTGTGCCCCTATGCGGCAAGTTCATACCAAAGGACTATCAATTTCATTTAAAAATACGCCCTCTTTTGTTTCTGCTCTTTTGTTTCTGCTCAGAGGCGGATAGACTTACAACATAATGGCATCACAGAAGTAAGGTACATGTAGGACTGCATCTATCCAGCCCCCATAGGAAAACGTACATGTGAAAAACGTGTGGCGTCATCATGTTTAAGTCTTATATTAAATCAGTGTCTCTTGCATCAGAGAAGCAACTTAACTTGCCTCATTCTGCGTGCATAACAGTTCAATTCTGTGCAATTATGTGTGCATCTTGCATCTGGCTCAAAAGCAATTTCTCGATAGCACTGATCCTATGGACTTTTCCCATGAAATATG